GATTCTATTGGCTCTAACGGTCAGAAAGAGGTGTCAACCATCAAAATCGACCAATGGGTTCCAGAGATATGAAAAAAAAAACATTTCCACCCAAATCACCTCAGAGGTGCAGTGTTTTTGGCTAAACCTCTCTAAAAAGGTTAAATGTCACTTGTTTTGCATCAATCTTGATACAGGGTACTTATTATATGTTGTACTTTGGATTCCTAAAGCTTTTAGTCTACCTTACCATCATCCAAGGGTAGTTTTCACTATAAGTAAAAAAGAATTTTTGGACGGAGACTATAATTTACAGTTTTTTACTATGTTCAATCTGAATTTTCTTTAAAATAAAAAACATCTATATTGATTCTGACTTTTTTACATCCAACTCACAGGTTTATCATTACTTTGAGAAAAAAGATTATTAATTTAACCCTTTTAGAAGGGAAGATATGGTCATTTTTTCTGGGAATGTCATTTTCGAGCCTGAGACCTGAAAAACAGGCTCAGGGCTAAACAGGTTAAGGTGAAGCAGACCTTGCAATAAATTGCATTAAATACAAAGATTGTAAGTGATTAAAATAAGATATAATAAAAAACGCTGGAGAGAAAACATTTCTCTCAGAGACTCGAACAAGGGCCTCCTAGATCTGTAACCCACACTTAGACCGCTACTCTACAAGCAGATTACAAATGATAGTAAGTTAGTTTGAAAGTCTGGAGTTTCTGGAGTCCACCCACACAGCGCAGCCTCGAAGTGCGCATATTTTACGTATTTAATCATATATTTTCGAATATAAGGAGTATAAATATGATTCAGATAACCGCGGAATCGCTGGAACTGTAGCTTTCCAGTGGTACCTCTTGTGAGACTGTACCCGACACAGCAGGGCCAATAGGGCTGCTCAAAGCAGCTTGACTTTGCGTTACACTGTGTCGGATTGGTGGATTAGTGTGTCCGTCAAGAAGATCTCGGCTGGCAGCCATGTTGGTCTGAAATGACCAATGGACACTCAAGAAATCACTAAGGACCTACCCACCAAGAAAAAAAACATATACCACGTGTCTCCCATCAGTTTACATCTGTGAGGAAGAGAGAGAGACAGAAAAAATTGCTAAAACTTTACAGTTGCCCATGCGCTAGAGCAGGGCTGCCAACATTTGAGTTCAGCTTGGAGTGAGATTTTTTTTTTGGTGAACCGAAAAAAGAAACGTTCATGTGTACAGTGTTACAAATGTATTGAACATGTACAAACTAGGGTTTCCCATTAATGTACCGGGCGCTACAGTGGAATACGCACATACACAGTGTACCCGCAACTCTTACAATGAAGGCTCGATAATCAGCTCACAGCATATAAAATGGCATATAGGTGTAAGTAGAGGTAAAGTGCTATTTTATAAGTGGGGAGGGTGGAACTCACCTTCTCTAGGGGGGTCCGGGGGCATGCTCCCCCGGGAAGATTTTTTTTTAAATATTGAAGTTAAATGCATTAACCTGGTGCACTTTGAGAGCAACATTTATGGATACATCTCTCAACATCCACATGAAACAACTGTAAACCGATTTTCTTTTCTTTTACAAATCACTCACCTTTTAAACTGTATTCTTGTTTTACTGTCATATAGTATTTCATAACTGTTTTTAATTTATTCTCATAAATGGTGACCAAAACGTTTGAGACCCACTGAGATAACTAGACTAAAGTGAACTATCTAAGCACTCAGAGAGTCCCTTACCTCACTGAGCTGTAGTTATCTCTCTCAGTCTGACAGGACAGAGCTCTCCTTCTCCTTGTTTTAGAAACAGCTTCTAATATCTGTTAGCGCAGCTAGCTAACCAGATGCTAACAACAACAATGCAAATAGTGAGTTTGGTAGTAATATACTATAATAGTAAAGTTATTCAAGATAATGCCATATTTATTGAAGATTTGATATTATAAATATTCCCCAAAATTATTCAAAAGCATATTCTTCCAAACTCTTTGCTGTAGTATGACCACCAGGAGATTATTGATGTGTGTAGTGAGTTTGGTAGTAATAAGCTGTATAATAGTGATTGAATATTGTATTCTCTTTTTTCGGAGTTGCACTTTGCAGACGGCCCCTGAGCACTCGTTTCTAGTGATGGGAATTATGGCTCTTTGAAGGGAGCCGGATCTTATGGCTCCGTTCCTTTAAAGAGCCGTTCAAAAGGGGGCGGGGTTACTAGGTTTATCTGCGAAATAATCACCAGGATAATGATTGACTGTATTGCCAGACCTAATGTCAATAATCTGCATTGTAAACATGACACAAGGTGGTGCTATATCCATGTCATTCATGTCAGTGAATGTACTACTTTGAATGTATGTGTTAAGTAAATAAAGTTGCCTTGCCTTGAATGAAATTCATGCAACTCTTAATATTAGATACTGTGTTTTTAAGTGGCGATGGAGATTATTTGTTGACCCTGCTTTAAAGGATATTTTGCCTTTACATATGGTGCACTTTATCACTGCCTGGGTTTTGGTTGAAGTGAATCCAAATGCTGCTGCGTTTTCGCGTTTGGCTCATTTTCCATCCGAAAAACACGTCGTCTACCTGTCCTGTACCACTTGTTATGACTTCTTTCTCTCGTGCGTATTCCGTTAAGACCCACCCCACCTCACTCCTCGTGCTGAAACCTACCAATCAGAGTAGGGGCGGGTCTTCACAGAATACGTTTGGGGAACAAAATCAAGCTTTTTAAAAGGCGAGTGGATTTTGGCAGGCAGTGAGTGCGGACCAACGATTGAACGATAACAAGAACGGCTCTCACCAAGTACGACTCGGTTCCCCTCGTTCGTACCAAAGAGCCGTTCAAAAGAATCAGCTCGTTCGCGACCGACACATCACTACTCATTTCTTCTCCGGCTGCGGATAGAGACCAACAGTGGCGGCCGGCCCATAGGGCCCCCCCTCTTCCCACATTTTAGATTGTCATTACAAATAAAATAAAAATATATATTTAAAAAGAAAATATATTTTTTATTTTCATTTTTATTTTTAATAAACAAGGTACATATTATATAGTTGGTATCAGAAAAATGTATAATCTACAATAAAATCTCGTTTAAAATTGTGTTACGATGTCTAAAGTTACTGATAAGTCATGTGTTTCCTGCATGGCCGCAGAAATCTTTGCCCGTGTATCATTACCCTCTCTCGTCTGGGCGGTAAGAAAAGAGCCCTAAGTGCAGCAGCAGCCAACCAAGTGCTGACTGCTACCTGAAAAGTACTATGCCGCCGAAACATAATTTCAGCCAATCAGCGTCGTCAGATCTGATGGTCCAAGGGCTACAATTTCAGCGCCCGGCCCAAGGCAGTCTGTGAGTTGTTTTGACTCGTATCCAAGGAGACAAAACAGGGAGCTGTCATACACTCTGGAAGCTATCATTAGCAGCTAATATGAAAACTCAGTTTTTTATATAAAAATTGTGACAGACACATTGGATTAACCTATGGATTAACCTTCAGCCGCGTTTTTCTCGTTTTAATGCAATTGAACACAACTTTTGATCAGAATAACAGCAAAAGGTGAGCATATCTCTGTGTTTTGCTACCTAAAGCTACGTCGTGTGATGTCTGTATTTGCTTCCCCTGTCGCGAGTTCTGATCGCTCAGTGATGATACTTATATTTCTAGAATCTGTGGAATCTCAGTTTGTTAGCATAAGCTTGTTTGTGCATATCCGATAAGTATATCGATCAATTTATACCTAGAATGTGTTAGCATTTTTTCGCTCAGGGCTCATTTAGCAAAAGGTTAGCTTCTTGTGAGACTTGTGTTTTATTTCGGTAAAAATGGTTCATATCATCAGTTAGCTGAGTTTCTTCCCGTTAAATGAGTATGACACATGAATAGTTTATTACATTTTAAGAAGCCCTGAGACACAGTTTCGTGAGAAAAGAAACGGGGGGGGAAAAGCCCCTTAACAGGTTAAATGGGAATTAAATCATTTGAGTGTTCCCAAAGCCCCGGTGTTCTGCAGTTTGTGTGGGCCTACTGTATTGTTGCACAGTTTATGCTGTAGAAACTATGTCCAGGACAAGGTGTTTGGAAGTTTTGGAAGATTCATAGCTAACCACACTGAAGATTATGGAGGTATTGATCAGTCTTCTCATATTTTTAAGCCTCAATTTGTCCTTTCCCCCCCCCGCCCCCTAACATCACCAGAAGTCATAATTTAAGGGGTCATTTCTCAATTTTTTTTACCGGGGGACCATCCCCCCGGACCACCCTAGTATTGTTTGGTCACCATTTCCACAGCCCCACCTAGAATATTTTCCACCAGCCGCCACTGGAGACCAATGTAATGTGTCCAGCTCGGAGGACGGCACGTATTGTCTTTCTTTGATCAAAATGTGATTGTAGTTCGTTGTCAACCTTACCACGGTATTTAGGAGACGTCATTTGTGTCTGAATAACGTTTTGTTCATGAGTTATTGATCCGTGAAATCCGAATCTCCCAATATCGTTCCAACTTTATTGCACTAAGCCAGAAGAGGGTTGGCAGCAGGGTTCAAGTTATGTGGGAGCCAATGGGAGCTGAGCTCCCATAAGGAGGGGTCTGAGCTCCCACGGACGCAGTGAAATCATACATCTGTGGGGGTCGCTAATACATTACCAACAACCATTATTTTAATCACAAATAATGCATGTGTCAATGTAATGAGTATTATTTACATTAACGAGGTAAATAGGCTAAAAGAAAAACATGTTTTCCAAAAGAACTACGCAGTCTCTTGAATGACAATATGCCTGCGCTGCACCTCCAAGGTGCGCAATACATTATTGCGCAATCTATGCCTGTGAGCGTGCCGCGCGAGCCGAGATGATGTGTGTGTGCGTAGTTGAACCTTTTCATATTTAAGTTTGTAGCAAGTAGAGGGCTGCTGCTGTGTGTGTGTGTGTGTGTGTGTGTGTGTGTGTGTGTGTGTGTCTCTGTCTGTCTGTCTGTCAGTCACAACATTGTAGAGCCAGAAACACAGAAATAACTCAAGAACTTTGCTCTTTTTTACTGAAAAGAGTTACAGTTACAGGGAAAAAGAACAGGCCAATGAATAAATGACTTGGTGCATCTTTATCAGCAGAGTATTTCATATTTATCCGGACTGATCCGTTCCTCTGCTGGGGAATTGGTGATCAGGCTTTCATTCTCTCCGCCAACTCAGACTGCTCTCTCCACTGGATGGAGGACGAGCGGGAAAGTGAACCGAGAGCTGGAAGCAGGTGGGAGTTCAATGAGGGTCAGAGTTTATTTGTCATGTTTTTTTATGAATGGTGGTGTCAGTATTTGTGTGGTGAGACTGGGGAGGGAGCACACACACATAATTGTGCATGTCAGTGCAATAAATGAACCTATACATTTCATGGCAGAGATTATATTTGAAAAAGAAATCAGCAATTTAGCATTTCATTATATTTGAAAAGTCGAGTAGAAGAAGAGCATCTACCAGGATGTGCTTGTTTCTCTGTGTGTGTTTCTGTGTAGTGTATTTGTTTGTCTCCTCATTATAGTCCGTCCACACTACACTCCGGCTCTGGGTTTACTTTCAGGATCCGCACTCTTCCTTCTGCAGGACCCCCCCACTCTGTGTCGGGTTTGGGATCAAGGCAGATCCATCCCGACTCATCCTGCTGTCCATTTGTCCTGCAGACAAACAGAGGCAGACATACAGACGGGGTGAGATGAAGAGGTCAAAAACCTGGCTTGATTTTTATCCTGTTGTTTCTTATCCCTAAATCCTCTCTCAATATACATCAGAAAGATGGCTGAACTGAACCTCAAAAGTTCGTCTGAACAGGCTTGTTTAGGATATTGGTTTGGTTTTAAGGACAAGTTTTATCTCACAATCCATTGTGTTTGTGAGAAATAATAAGGGTGTGTAGATATAACGTATTTTGAGTGAGGTGAAATTCTACATTTTTCTTACTTTTATCACATCCCATTAAAAGACTAAAACCAGCATAAACATGAGTGTTCACTACGTAAAGCTGCATGTCTCATTCAAGTATTTGTTTCTGTTTAAGAAATATAGGAGGCACATTGGTCTTTTGTAGGACTTACACGTACTGTAATAATATGATGGAAAGTGTCAAATGTAAGTTGGACAAGCAACACTCAGTTAGATATAAGTATATCATTGTATTTTTAAACACTATATTTTTCACTTTACACTTCATGAGAAAAGGCAAACTGTGTTTGACCTATCCCATTATCTCAGGTAACAGAGCATTTTGGGGCTCATGTGCCCCTCCTCCAACACTGTACCCAGTTCTATTTATACATCCATGCTGCGAACAGCCAACCACAGAGAAACGGGTGGCAATGTTGTCAGACAGGAACAACTTAAAGTCCTGGATATTCAACAATATTCTGATCTGGAATCAGTTACATTTCAGTACTGTATGAAACTTGTTTACTAGGTTAGGTCAACCACCAAGAGTCACACAAAGTTGTGAGGTTAACACTACCTGGTTGATTTCTTTTTCAGCTCGTAATACAATTGTTATGAAAGTAATACAAAAGGAATCACATGTAAAATGTTACATTTCATCAATTACAATCACTGTTTCAATGTGATCACATTGGGTTGAGCACTTGATTTTGACCTTGAGTTTTGCACATAAAGTGAGTCAAAGGAGATGAAATAGGATGAAAAAGAATAAAGAAACCTGCCAGGAAACAAAGTCCTGCGCCTTGAGGGGGTTTCCCGACATGTCGTTGCAGTAAATTAAAGGGTGTTTCATGTTGTCGTTGCTGTGGACCTTCTTATGGCGCATTTCCACCGCAGGCCTCGCTCGACTTAGTACGGTTTTGTTAGGCCTTGTTAGGCCCAGCTCACTTTAATGCTGCGCTTCCATTACAGTTTAGGAACTGGGGTAGTATCTATAGTAACGCAGTGTAGGCGGAGCCGTGACGTCATCTTCAATGAGCACCCCAGAAAAACAACATCAGCCGTTAGCTGTTAGCACTCAAGCTCGCAGCTCCTCATATCTGTTCAGAAACTTGACAAAAGTTAAACAAGTACAAACCACAGACTGTCTGTGTCATGGAGAATACAGTCGCTGGTTTATTTATGTCTGTATAGGCCGTTGTTGTGAGTGTGGACGGTCGGAGCATATACTGCGTTAGCTTAGCCGATCTCCATTTAGACAACGCGCATTTTAAAAGGTTTTTCGACCTGCCGTCTGTCTGCAGACTTGTCAAAGCATTAATTCATGGTTTTTACTAACCGGTATCAGTATGTTGTTACTTCGGCATCATTTTGAAACGTGTATTACAATTAAATCACGGTCAAATATGTTCATCTTGTTGTAGTTGTAGCCCCCTTGCCAGCGATTCTCTCTCTAGTTTAGCAAACTCAGCCCGACTCAGCCCTGTTTGTTGGCCCCGATAGAACCACGATTTTGTTGGGCCAGAAAAAAGGTGAAAAAGTAGCCCCGGGCCGGAACTAGGCATAGTGGAAACGCAACCAAAAATGGCCCCGGCACGACACGGCACGCTTAAACCGCGCTCCGCGCCATGGTGGAAATGCATTAATCTACCTTCTTTGGGGGCCCCCTTCTGGTCCGGGGCCCTAGCAGTTGCCTGCCTTGCCTGGCTACATGTGGTGCTGCTTTTCTCCGTCTGCGGCTCGCCTCTCACTGCAGCCCGGATCTTCAGCACCACGTACCTGCAGGCTGGAAACAGGGTTCAACAGGGTTCTACAATTCATAGTTTGTCAGTGAAACAACTTTTTAGGGGTTTGAATAAGGTAGTTCAACAGGCAAAAAAAAAGACTTTTTAAATTATGTTTTTCTAAACTGGAGAAGAACAACAAAGCCTTTGTTGTATTTTAATTAAAAAGTTGAACTTGTCTGAGCCAAAGGCCCTATGGAAGTTACAACACACACATTGTCATACAAATGTTCTATTTATTTTGTTGACTAACCCTAAGGCCTTTCTTTCGCTCGTTTGCGAGCCAAGAGAAGAGATCCCTGTACTTCCTGACTGAAAAATGCTGAGTCACCCTGACAGACAACAAAAGCAAAGCTCTCAAAGTCTACTCGGTTTCTGTAAAGCTGATTCTGTACTTCACTAATAGCAAAATATAACGAAAATACTGGTTGGTGTGAGTCAACTTTTTGATATGACGCAGCAGGATACAACCCAACAGTGTCATCAAGTCTGAAAACCATCGCAATGAATTCTAACCCACAACCTATGTCCCAAACTCGCTGTAAAAACCAGTAAGCACTCACCGTTGATGATCAATCACACCATCTCTCTCAGAATGGTTGATCTGTGGCACACTTTAAAGTGTATCTCAGTGTTTCAGGAGCTGTTTCTGTCTTTCTGTGTCAGCTGTCTGCTGCAACTGGATCTCTTCCTCAATAACAACGCGTAAGCTACCCTGACAAACCAGAAAAAAACAAAAACAAACAGATCATGCATTTTAGACAGGGCCGGCCCTAGACCTTTGGGGGCTTGGGGGCCCCCCTCACTCTAGCGCAGTGGTTCTCAAACTTTTTTCAATGAAGTACCCCCTTTGAAAAAAAAATGCAGCCAAGTACCCCCTGATCAGTGCAAAAACAATGTTAGGGAAAAAATGCCTATATAAAGAGGTACAGTACAGCCTTGCACCATCAGTGTCTGATTTATTAAAACAACAACATTGTAACTGAGAAACACTTAAATGCTACATTTCAAATGTTTACAATCCATCACTAAATTCATGGCAAACCAATTTTAACATCATGCAATAACACTAAGACGACATTAGTTGCATTGAACTGATCTTTTTAATAAGTTGTACTTACAATTTAGTGAGAAACATGGGCTTGTCATTCTCGGTGACAGGGAGACAAACTGCAGTTATTACACTTCGCGTTTTGAAATATGTGTAACTGTTAATATAAAACCCACACTGCTCAAACTTAGTTACTTTTCCTAAAATTGGTATATTTATTTATTTTGGGGAATGAAAAGAAAAAAATATATGAGCATTTTATGAGCATGGGATTTTGACCCCTCATATAAACATATGCATAATGCTGCGCTATACTTTGCGGCCACACGCCGTTGCCAAGCAACGCTTATTGTTTAGGTCCTTTGATAAGCAGGCAGTCATATAATTAACTAGAACTAGCTAGATCTGATAGATTTGGACATAAACGCGAGAGAGAGATCAGAAATCAGATCAGCTGCTGCTGACGGAGAACACGCAGCTCTTCTGGATCACAGCTCCGCCGCTGTGACGGACCGTTGAGCGGAGCAAAATACACTAAGAGTTAGACCTAACACACTTAGTTAGTTTATCTACTCTGGAACTAGCTAAACTAGTTATAAATATATTTATTCTTTACTGTCGGGTCACTTATTACAGGTTCAGCGAGCTGCACGAGACTGACGGGCTGTCAGAAGAGGGAGAGGAAAAGAGAGCACCCCGTTTATTTTTCCCATTTTATTATCCAGAATTACTGTAAACTTTTGAATAAAGTAGTTAATCTACTATTAGTAGTTTGTTTAAATGCATTACTTATGTTTTTTTTTTCATTAACATAAAATAATTTCACATACCCCCTGTAGTACTCCAACGTACCCCTAGGGGTCCGCGTACCCCCATTTGAGAACCACTGCTCTAGCGCGTTCTCACTACACACAACACGGAACCAACTTTTGTTACTTTTTATGATGTTAGCATAAGCACACATATTGTGTAAATAAGCATGTAAACACCGTGGACCTAACATCCTCTAGGGCAGTGGTTCCCAAACGGTGTGCCGTGAGGCAAGTCCGGGTGTGCCGTGGGATTTTGTGACAACCATACGTTATTATTGCAATATACAACTACACAAAGAAATGGAAAGCCATACTACGGGAGAAGAAATATTCAGGATAACTAATAACTATTTAAAAGAGAACAGTCTGACCTGGAATATGTGCATCAGTCTTTGCACAGATGGTGCGGCAAGCATGACGGGGAGAGTGAAAGGATTTATTGCTAAGGTGAGAGCACAAAACCCACATATCGTGACAAACCACTGCATTTTGCATAGAGGCATTAGTTGCCAAAACCATGCCTCCGGAGTTGACTGAGGTGCTGAATCAGGCTGTGCAGATGGTGAATTACATCAAATCAAGGCCCCTGAAATCTCGCCTCTTCTCCCAGCTGTGCGCCGAGATGGGAGCCGACCACCAAAGCCTGATCCTCCACAATTTTTAATTGTGTGACCTGTCTGGTTTAAATGAGTGTGTTGCTGCTTTGATGAAGCCTAATTTGATAAAGTTTCAAATTAATTTCTGAAATATTTCGTTAATAAATATTTCATGAGTAATATAGTTGTCTTTGTCACATTTTATTTGGCATTTAATTATGCACATTTACAGATATTTTACATGATATGAGTGATAACACGTGTTATAAGGGCCATTTGGCACAATAGGTGTGCCTTGAGATTTTTACTTGTCCTTTGGTGTGCCTTGGGCACAAAAGGTTTGGGAACCACTGCTCTAGGGGGGTCCCAGGGCATGCTCCCCCGGGAAGATTTTTTTTAAAATATTGAAGTTAAAAGCATCAATCTGGTGCACTTTGAGAGCAAAATGAAGAGATCTATGGATACATCTCTCAACACCCATGAAACAGAACTGTAAACAGATTTTTCTTTATGGATATTTTACAAATCACTCCCCTTTTAAACTGTATTCTTGTTTTGTCATATAGTATTTCATAACTGTTTTTCATTTATTCTCTCTGGCTGTCCATCTCATAATGTTCACATAGAAACTAGCTGTCAACAGGAAAATCATTCAGAAGAATTATAATTTAATGCAAAAATCTGTCACAAAAAGAGGTTGCACATTTAAATTCAGGTGTTGTTATGGCAACGTCAGTGGCCAAACAGCCACATTTACTGCTGCAAATACGTTCAAACATGCTGTCGACACGTAAAGCAGTGGCAACTATGCCATCATTTCAGCTGACTTTTTCTCAGAAATACTGTCACATAACATCCATATATTTCAGTGCTAGGTTGATGCTTAGCTAAGCTAACTATGAAACACGTTAACTGACAGGACTCAGGATCAACTGTAAGGTATTATTATTTATACCAAAAATTATGTATTTTGTACTGTAAGGTAGCAACGTTTTACCATGTCCCTATGCAAATAGTGACAACGTCTTCGTCACATTAATGCAGTGTTTCTTAAAGTGGGGGGCGCACCCCGCGAGAGACCAGGAGGAAAAATTGTTATGACAAAAAAAATAAAATTGTTATGACGTCGGCATGACCGGCGGAACACTAAACTGTTGTGTCGTGTACTTACACTTAGAAACCTATGAGGGCACTGTAGGACCCAGGTGTGTAATGTACATGTTGAGGATGGAAGGTCAATTTGTATTTATTGCACGTCGCGGGGGCCGGAGCGGGTCTTGAAAATCAGACCCCTTTAGTCTAAGTTATCTCAGTGGGTCTCAAACGGTTTGGTCACGATTAATGTAAACAATTATTTCGGAGGCACACGTTTATATGATCATTATAGGTATACAAAAATAAGAGAATAAATGAAAAACAGTTATGAAATACTATATGACAGTAAAAAAAGAATAAAGTTTAAAGGGGAGTGATTTGTAAAATATCCATAAAGAAAAAGTAAATCTGTTTACAGTTCTGTTTCATATGGGTGTTGAGAGATGTATCCATAGATCTCTTCATGTTGCTCTCAAAATGCACCAGATTGATGCTTTTAACTTCAATATTTAAAAAAAAATCTTCCCTGGGGAGAATCCCCCCGGACCCCCCTATGTGAGGTCCACACACCACCTATAAAAACAGCACTTTACCCCTGCTTACACCTATATGCCGTGAGTTGATTATCGAGCCTTCATTGTAACAGTCGCGGGTGTACTGTGTGTGTATTTGCGTGGGGAGTGTTGCAGTAGAAAATTCAACTGTAGCGACCGGTACATTAATGGGAAACCCTACATGTTTGAGCACCCTCTATGAAACGTCAAGCTACCCCACAGCACAACAAGCCATGTAGGACAGAGAGTGAATACACATACTATACAGAGATGCTGTATGAGAAACCAATGTGATTTTGGAAAATTGCACAATATAAATCTATTTTAGTATACCTCAACAATGGAATTATGATCAGTAGAAATGGCCATGACATGGGACCTTTAAGATAAAAAAAACATGTGTATAGAAGTGGAGTTTGGAATTAATACTAAGCCCAGGACAGGGAAATAAGAAGGGGGTTGATATGTTGGATATCATTTATACAGGGAGGATTAGGAAATAGGATGTTAATCATGTAAAAAGCATCATTATTCATCAATGACTGAGACAATGCCATACTACCCACTCCGATACATTAGGTGGCGGTATGCATCTTTAAAGTGGGCTCGCGCTCTGCCAATAAACCTGAAGAAGAAGAAGCATGCTAGCTGCTGTATGGAAACTGAAAGCGCTCCCGGGCTGTAGACAAGGTGGGCACCTGCATGTTACCCTGCATACACAGCATGTCTCATTGGATTATAACTAAGGTGCCTGTTATTATTAAATGGAAACTCATATTTCTTACACAGAATCTTTGTTAACTAAACATCTGCATCCTCAGCTGGAGTAACACTAACATGACGCCAGCTCCTGTTGGCCCTCACACATTCAAATAACAAGCAGCCCAGCAAACATTCATGTGAAGTCCCTAATGATATAATCCACTCAACAGACTATGGATTATTCATCTAATAAAATACCACTGCTATACGAGTTGTAGCTTAATGTGAGGTAAAGGATAACTGTGCTAACGCTTGGTTAGAGCTAGCTTCGAAGTGTCAGCTGTTAGCCGGAGCTGCTGTCTGTATTATACTCCGAGCCTGGAAGAAATCAAAGCTTACCTCAATAACATGTTATAACCTCATCCTCAGTAAAACGGCAGTTCACATGTTATAACCTCATCCTTAGTAAAACGGCAGTTCACATGTTATAACCTCATCCTTAGTAAAACGGCAGTTCACATGTTATAACCTCATGCAGAAACGTTAAACGCTGGTTGAGTACCATTCATTCTTCACTCCAGCCTGCTTGTTCTCCACTGTATGTTTCTCACTGAACTGTGACATTTAGCTGGATCTGTTTCCCTCATATTCGAGTGAATACATCATAATTAGCATATAGTAGATTATGTGAATGTTTATAAGAGCTGTTTAACTTTATGAAGAAATGAAATTAGGAACAGGTTAAAGGTCATGCTGTCCGAACCATATGTAGTAGTCATAAGAAAGCCACCAACACATGATCACTTACCATTAACCCTTTCAAGCTGTCTTTATTAAACAAAGACCATCAATAAAAATAAATAAATCTCATAAATGAATAAAGATCATTTATGCCATATTTAGCTATAAGCTCATTTCCATCTGCGCTGCCTGGGCAGCTTCACACATAGAAATGAACACTTAAACATTACATAGTTTCTACGACACTACAGCCAGATCAATGTACAGATCCAAATTGATGACATGTCTGTGCACACCTAAAGCTCAGCTGGAATTGGTTGGGTCAGTGTTTAGGGCAGATTGTGAGGGTCTGCACATCTGCTCAGAGCGGAGCTGACAAAAGCTACTCGATGTCAGAGAAGCTATATTGTTAATGTTTTCAAATACCAATTGAACTGTCTGAAACATAATGATATTTTCAAAGCTTAAGAGATTGTCAGAAATGTGTGAGAAACATGAACGTTCCCGAGCAGAAAGAAAATCCCATGTATTATTATTATTTTATTATTATAAGACATGAATGTAACCATCGTCTACAGGGAACTTTGACTGTCCCTGATCTGAGCCAGAAGCAGAGCAGCCGGGGGGGGGGGCAGCAGTCACACAGACAGAGCTGGGAGGAGGACTGCTTCAGCTGGGCAGGAACCAGGAAGAAGAACAAGCAGGAGGACACAGCTGCAGATGGCTGGCTTTCTGGATAACTTCCGCTGGCCAGAGTGCGAATGCATGGACTGGGGGGAGAGGAGGAACGCCGTGGCCTCTGTTGCCTCTGGAGTTCTGGTCAGTGGCTTTTTGGTATTTTGAAAAAAAAACTTCACAGACATGTTTTATATAGGTATGGCCCTACAATATATTTGTCAAATATAGCATGATAGGTCCACTTTAAACACTATTATTAAAGAGGAGCTAGTTGGACCTTTCCAGGTTGAAGATGGACTCTAAATCAACTCCCAAACCAACTGCGGGTTTTTAGAAGACACTTTCTTCCATCAGTAGCCGCTTCCACACCAAGTACTTTGCCGTACTTAGTGCCGGCACTTAGTACCCCCATGGAACTAAGTACAGATTGCGTTCACACCGGAATAAGTTCCCTGAGGGAAGATTACGCAAATGAGCCGCTGACGTCACTTCTTCTTCTTCTGCTTTGGGTTTACTGGCAGGCCGCAAACAACTTCACGGCGTATACTGCCACCCGAAGTCCCCGGCCGGAAGTCCCCGGAGTTGGGGACTGGCTTCAGTAGAAGCTGCTGGGACTCCCAGCAGTAAAATGTGTATCTAATAACGTCATCACAATCGCCACATTGATATGCAAATTAGGCGTTAACTAGGCTCAACTCGTATATCTTAAAATCGTTTTAAATTTTGCCAGTTTTTAAAGATTTTTAATAGTTTGTTTTATTTCGCATATTGACTGGCTAATGTGCCATTTTATTTGTGTTTTACAGCTGTATTTGTCTGCCTGTCTTGTCTGTGTTGTAACTTTGTTCATGCTGCCCTTCTTGGCCAGGTCACTCTTGGAAAAGAGATTTTAATCTCAATGAGTCTTTTTACCTGGTTAAATAAAGGATATATATATTAATTAAAATGCGCTAATTTGCACCACCTCACAACTTCCCCAGATAGTTACTTACGTCAAGTCAGTATTTTCCCTGAAATGTTGTGTTTAAATATGCAGATTAGCTTTAAATCTATAGATGAATTCAGACATGGCAGCAAAGCGAACACCATTTATGTGTTTCTTGGAAGTTTTCTTTCCATTAGAGTGAAAGAAAACATGGAAGCAAAATAGACCAGAATAACAAGTACATGAAAAAACGATCTTTTTGCCTGTAATGTCCTTAAACAGTAACTCCATAATTTTGATTGTTGGCTGCTCATTTAATAACTATGAATTGTACTAGTTTGTTGTCTGCTCTTGTGCTTAGTGAATACTAAAGAAGACCATTGTCTCTGTTAGCTGATTATTTTGTAGAATTCTGTTGAGTATTAAACAATTGCGTGAGTGTGAGGGTATTAAAATAAATTGGTCAGTAAGTCAGAGATGTGCAACTATATTTAAAGGGGACCTATCATGCAAAATGCACTTTTGTACATCTTTTATACATGAATATGTGTCCCCGGTGTTCCAGGGAACTCACCAAGTGTCAGAAAACACAACCCTCTCTATTTTCCTCCATACCCAAATCTCTAAAAAAGGGGCTGCAACGGATCTGATAAAAACTGATCCAGATTTGAACACTGTCCTGACGTCAGGACGGTGGCACTACGGCTATTGGGCCGACTCTCCACCTATCAGGGGAATGTGGGGTTGGGCCACGGCCGGCCATTGCCGCTCGAAAGCGCTGGAGACGCTGTAGTACATATGCCAGGCCTGTAAGTGGCGCTGTAGTCTGCCACAAAAGCAGCGAAGAAGACTTCCCGCGCATGGTTACCATGGTTACCCTTCTGTTTATTCTCCGCTGTGGCTTTTTTCCTCCCTCCCCGAGGCAAGCGTTTGCTCCCGCTGCTTTAATTCAATGCAATCCCTCCCCGTCGAGGCAAGCACTGTAATTCTCTCCGGTTAGTCCACCAGCAGATGACAAACACCCACCTCTCTGCCTCTTCCAAGGAACGAGGGGACCGTGCAGCAGAGTTTCAGTTAGGTTTTCTTTTGCCGGTCAAGATGTCCGTTAAAGTTTAAATCTTCCGGACAAAATTAGAAAAGTGCCGGTCAAAGGTCTTCTTTGTTATTTATTGAGCTTTAAAACAAATGAATAACGACTCTATAGGCCTATAATAATATAATAAAACACGGAGGACGGAGATCTATTTTTCTCCCCCTCTTGACTTGATCAGAGCACGGCTCCCCTCTCCTGCAGGGGGGCGTGGTCAGCTGCAGCTCACAGAATCAGCCCCGTGCAAAAACAGTGCTGGAGAACAGCAAATAGAGCGAAATGAGGCATGGCTAAAATGCATGATCTGTTTGGTATTTTGAAAACAGAAACGTACAAATATACCTTATATAGGTATGGCCCTACAATATATCATTTAAATATAGCATGATAGGTGTCCTTTAACTTTTTGTTTTAAAACATTTTTTTATAAATGATTATGGGAAGTGCCCTTTTTCTCACTTGAGCACCCGCCCCCCAACATGTCTGTGCACGTCCCTGGGCCTACATGTTGAGGAATGTTTTATAGTATTTGGCTATAGCCTTTCTTTGTTTCCATTTAAATATTGTCTACATTTGAAGTAGGCTTATGTTTAGAAAGGCCCTGTATTTTGTTCCGTCTATTGAATTGTATGTTTTTGTCCCTTCTATTGGAATTGATTTGTATTGCCTTATATAGGCTATAATGGTTTCTTATGATTTGAAAAATAGTGTTGAGCAAATTTTGCTTTTATTATTAATATATTTACATCCAATATTTGCTAAACTGCACTTTAGCCGAGCATAGGCTATTATATTGATTTTAGTTTCTTCAAAATCTACATGCCCTAAGAGAATGGAATATGTTGCATATGTGGCCTTCTGATAAATAAACAGTAGTCAATTTCTGCTTTCTCAGGTCTTAATTATATTTCTGCAATGCTGTTAAGAATAGTTACTTGTATTGCTCTAAATAGTCAATAAATATATAATGTACACAACAGAGTTTCCATTAGAAAGCTCTCCCGGATCACCTGTAGCTCCGCCCGCGGTGACTGACCGGTGTCACACACTTCAAGTTAGACCTAACACACTTAGCTATTTTATCTACCTCTGGAACAACCTAAACTAATTATAAATATATTTATTCTTCACTGTCGGGTCACTCATTACTGGATCAGTGAGCTGCATGAGACAATACTGACAGGCTGTCAGGAGAGAGAGAGAGAGGGGGAGAGAGGAAAAGAGAGCGCTTCCGCTCATTTCTCCCGTGTTATTATCCAAAGTTAATGTACACTTGAATAATGTACTTCATTTGAATGTAATAATTATGTTGGTTGTTGTTTGTGGAAGCGCCAATGAATGAGCCCCATTAACTGAGTTTTAAACATCACTTTAAATGGAAGATCCCCATAGGCCCCGCCCACTCGATCGGATCGGCGATCGGTATCGGCCGATACTGATTCCGGCGATCGGCGATCGGCCCCAAAATGGGCGATCGGAGCATCCCTAGACTCCATCAATGGACGGCTTGTGACTGTCATTGAAGAGAAGGGTTGCTATATTGGAATCTGGTCTTTGTTTTGAAATATCAGAAATGTTTATTTGTACATTTTGAGTTGTTTGTTTACTATTCTCACTTTAACAGATGAAAATAAATCAGATGGGAACATTTTCGTTTTTCCTTTAGTTGCATAATAATTCTGCACAATAGTTGCCCAATAATTGTGAACACATCGATATTCTCCTAAGAAAGCCAAAACTTCCCTTTTACTTTCTTAAATATTCAGGTTTGAGGTTTATTAACATTTTGGATTGACCGAGAGCACTAGTTGTTCAATAATTAAAATAATCCTCAAAAATACAACTTGCCTAATAATTGTGAACACAGTGTAAATGCACAGACACCTATATAACACACTACATGTTGTCTCAGTTTCTTCCTCTACGTCTCACATTGTTGGGATCATAAGGAGATTTTGGAACTGTTCCATTTGTGTTCCTCTTGCTCTCTTTATTCTTTGTTTTGCACCAGCTTTCCCCAACATCGCAGTATGAGTGAAACTGCATCTCATGATTTCTCTGGTCCCAGTTCTTCACAGGCTGGTGGATCATGATTGACGCAGCAGTGACGTATCCGTCCCAGGAGCAGATGGAGCATGCGTTCCACACATGCGGTGTCTTCTCCACCATAGCATTCTTCATGTGAGTGCTGCTCTCTCCAGGCTGTACGTGTCTGTAGAGTTCCGCCCGGGTTCACTTCCTGGAGGCAGTGCCTGCAACAAACAGTTTTGGTGCTTTTCCAGGTGTTGGTGTTTTTGTATTTCTTCATAGTAAATGTCTGTCTCCGCTTTGGGTCTCTCCGGTACGGTTTTGCATGAATTTGTAGCCTTTTTTTGACTCAACCACTAGATATACCAACAGTCAATTCAGACAGACGCTCTTATATCATTATGGATGGAAGTTATATACAGCTTGAAAGTACTGACATGTGATAAAAATGACTTTATGCTTTGTTGTCCTCACAGGTATGTAATCATCCTTTGAACTGTATGAACATAAAAAGCGTATTAAATTGCATTTCAAGAGTTATAAAAGGCCTTAAAAAGTTTTATTTTTAACTTGAACCCTGGGCCAATGCTAGCGTCAGTTTGACTGATAGCATTATTATTTTCATTTTTCAATCTTCCCTATTGAAATGTTATACTAATATGTCGAGCTGTGAAGCTACTGATTCCTCTTTTGTAAAACTGTTGACTGTCTTCATTTTCAGGATAAATGCAGTTTCTAACGGCCAGGTGAGAGGAGACACGTATGTAGAGGGCTGCCTTGGCCGGACAGGTGCGTCTCTGTGTGTGTGTGTGTGTGTGTGTGTGTGTGTGTGTGTGTGTGTGTGTGTGTGTGTGTGTGTGTGTGTGTGTGTGTGTGTGTGTGTGTGTGTGTGTGTGTGTGTGTGTGTGTGTGTGTGTGTGTGTGTGTGTGTGTGTGTGTGTGTGTGTGTGTGTGTGTGTGTGTGAGTGTGCATAAATACATGCATGACAAACTGGTGAGAGAAATCAGAGGGTGTTTTACTTTATTATAACAGGATTACTGAATAATTGGCATGAAGTCAGACAGTAATCTGACAGCTATCTAAAGCATGGACAAAGCCGCTGTCAGAGAGCCGCTGTGATTGCCCTCTGTGTAATGTGTGCTACACAGAGCAAATCCTCTCTGCTGCTATCATACTGCATCTCTATCTCTTCCTATAGTGGAGACCCTGTCCACTATCTCACACTCCTGTGTAACTTAAAAAAGCTGGGGCATTGTTCAACTAAATGCGAGTGCAGAACTTTAGTGATGGATCAGGAGTGCTGTTACAGTGAGGCAGTGAATGGTTCTGACTAACCCAGTCAGGGCAGTACAGGTAGCATATACCAGTTTCTAGGCTTCCTTTGCCTTTTCACTGCCATGCAATTCATGGTAAACATCCATGCTTAAATGATGGGAGGATGTTAAGTTGTTAATGAGATTGATTTGTTCAAATTTAAGGTTTCCAGATTAATTGCAAGCATTACATTTGACACCCCTATTATCTAGGTAATGATTAAAAGTATTAAGAGATACGAAGTGTGTGTGTGTTTGGCTGTCAGGGAGTGAATGCAACTCGTTACCCATTGAAAGTGATGAGTGTATGTGTCCTCACAGGAGCTCGTCTCTGGCTCTTCATCGGCTTCATGATGATGTTCGGCTCGCTCATCGCCTCCATCTGGATCCTGTTTGGGGGCTACGTGGTGCCCAGTGAGTCTCACACCTGCTTCTGTCCATGCTCTCTTTCACTTCAGAGAACACTTGTGAACTGGTCAAAAGTTGTATTATTCCAAGTAACTTCAACTTTCTTGATGATTCCATTGAAATCAGACATCAAATGTTCATACAGTTACTATTTTAAAACTTATAAGTGATGATTTACTTTGTCAGTTTTTTAGATAATGTTTTACCAAAAACTAGACTAGTCGGTCCCAGCCTACTGTGACAGTGATGGAATATTGTACATACAGCTCTGGAAAAAATTAAGAGACCACTCTCTTTACTGAAATCTCAATCTATACATGTCTGGCAGCCATTCCATTCCAGTGTCTGTTGAAATCCAACACAGAGAAATGTAGTAAGTAGTTTATAGAATAACATAAACAAATATTAATTCTAATGTAACACATACCTTTAGATAGTAAAACCAGAGAAACTGATAATTCTGCAGTGGTCTCCTCATTTTCTCCAGAGCTGTGTATAACATGTACTTAATTATAAAATCAAAGTAAAACCAAAGCAGCACTGCCGCTGACAGATGTATAAAGAGTTTAGATATATATATTAAGAATGCATTGATGGCAAATTTCCATTACCAATACGATATTAAGAGTCACAATTACTTTACTTACTAATTTTTACTTATTCTCATTTTGCCAGGGAAAAATAATAAGATTTAAAGTAACAAGTTGCATTTGGCGCCATAACTCAATATTCATTTTTATGATAACAGTAGAAAACATTTTTTATAGCATTGAAATTTCAAAATAAATGTACAGAATAATCTTTTAGTTTATAAATAAGGGAATGAAAACTCTTGATGTCAGCACACGGAGCAGATGAGACCGAGTGGAGGTCCTGCAGCAGACCCTCCCACAGAGGAGGCTCAGTCAGTGCTCTAATCCTTCAGAATGACAGATGACCTTCAGATTTTGTTTGTCATTATTAAACAAATGTGACTCTAAAGCAACCTCTTCCAGTCACATAGCCGAGCAAAACAGATAATAATTTACTCCTGCCATTGGCGCTTGTCTCCTTATCTGCCAATGTAAATAGCAGTAAATAGGGCGAACATTGCTCGATGTCTGGCGGATACATTGGATTGTTTTATCTCTGGTATTTCAGATTTTTTCAGTTCAATTTCGTTACATGCGAAGTAGCAAACATACAATATCTAAGCAACTAAATCTAACATTTCTTATTTGAGTGGTCTTTGGAGGTTATTCTTTTTTTTCTTCTCAGAAATATTTTTATTAGATTTTTTAAAGACAACAACAAACATCAACACATTACACATTTACACATATACCCCTTCCCCATTCCCAAACAGACCTGAACAATATGTGCAAGGATATGACACAAATAACAGTAACAGTGTTAATAATAATAATAATACAAATGATAATAATAATAATAAAGAGTACAGTCAGAAATAGTACACCATCCTCATGACTTAAGCTTCTTAAAGTGTTTTAGGAATGCCCCCCATACCTTATTGAACTTAGTACTCGAGCCGCAGACTGAGTAGCGGATCTTTCAAGTGTAAGGCATGACATTAGGTAATTTAGCCACTGAGCGTGGGTGGGCGGGACAGCATCTTTCCACCTAAGTAGTATCACTCGCCTGGCCAGCAGGGAGGCAAAGGACAGTGTGCGAGCCTTGGTTGGAGTCAGGAGTGTATCTTCCTCTCCAGTGGTGCCAAAGAGTGCAACTAGAGGGTGAGGGTCCAGCTTTTGATCAAGGATAGCAGACAAAGTATTGAAAATGTCCTTCCAATATTTCTCTAGGCTAGGACATGTCCAAAACATGTGTGCCAGGGTGGCCTCATTTATTTTACACCTTTCACAGTAGGGACTTACATCTGGGTAGATCTGGGACAATTTAGCTTTAGACATATGAGCCCTGTGTACAACTTTAAACTGTAGCAAACAGTGATGGGCACAGATGGATGTGGAATTAACCATGTTGAAGATTGAAACATTTAAATCAAGCCCCCAGGCAGTTTTAATTTTGTTGAGGGGAGCATTTTCTTATACCTGTCAGCTTGTCATAGATAATGTGCAGATAACCTCTGCGCATTGGATATCATTTAAGAAACATCTCAGCGATGTTCGGCTCGGGTGCTTCTGGGAAGCTTGAGATCTTAGAATGGAGGAAATACCTGATTTGCAGATATCTGAAGAAATTATTGTTCGGAAGGCTAAACTTTTCAGAAAGTTGCTCAAACGAAGCAAAGCTGTTGTTAATACAAATATCCTTAAAACATGTGATACCATTCCCAAAACACAGAGTTAGATGCAGACAGTTGAAAAAGGTGGTTGGATAGAATAGGACTCAAGAGAGAGAAACCATGAAAGCCGAAGTGTTTTCTGAACTGAGCCCACACCCTCAATGTGTATCTAGCAACCGGATTACAACCCAAGTTTTTTGGAGGGAGAGGGAGTGAAAATCCGAGCAGGGCTAAGATCGAAAGTTCTTTGAAGGAACTCAACTCCATAGCCACCCAGGACGTACAGTCGGCCTGATTATGAAAATGAGACCAAAACGTAATACAACGTCCAATAGTAAAAATGAAAATTAGGCATGAAGATGGGCTTTGTTCAGTCGGGGTCGCTTGCCCCTCCAAATATAAGATGATATGACTGAGTCTAACAAATCAAAGAAGGATTTAGGAATGAAAACTGGTATAATTTGGAAAAAGGTACAGAATGAATACGACCTACCAGGGTCGTAGAAAGGGGGGACCACTGTGCCAGATGGTGTTTCACCTGATTCAACAAAGAATGACATTTTTCTCTAAAAAGTAGCTTATGTTTTCTTGTGACTGACATTTTGGGGGGCAGGAGCTCAAGTGAGAAAAAGGGCACTTCCCATAATCATTTATAAAAAAATGTTTTAAAACAAAAAGTTAAATATAGTTCCACATCTCTGACTTTGTTGTATCCTTTTCACCTGCAATGCCTTGGTAACTGCATGCAAATTAGCGCATTTTAATTAGGCCTAGTTAACGCCTAGTTTCCATATCAATGTGCGATTGTGATGACGTTATTAGATACACATTTTACTGTATTCACCTTTAGTGTCTCCCCTTAAGTAACCTACAGTACATTAGCCTGTATGCCCATGATAAATTGCCTTAGCTAAACCTTGAGCTAACTTATCCATTAGCTAGTAGCCTACCTTAGTTAACTATATTTGTTATTGTCTTTTAGCTAATTAGCTGTAAACTCGAGTCACTGGCAGTTTAGTAATTTGTTCATCACCACTCACCTTCAAACAAGCCAAGAAAAGCCGGCATAACATGGGACAGTAAAGTGGGAGGTGCTGCTACCTGTCTGTCTGAAGGGACAGTAAAGTGGGAGGTGCTGCTACCTGTCTGTCTGAAGGGACAGTAAAGTGGGAGGTGCTGCTACCTGTCTGTCTGAAGGGACTGTAAGGTGGGAGGTGCTGCTACCTGTCTGTCTGAAGTGACTGTAAGGTGGGAGGTGCTGCTACCTGTCTGTCTGAAGGGACTGTAAAGTGGGAGGTGCTGCTACCTGTCTGTCTGAAGTGACTGTAAAGTGGGAGGTGCTGCTACCTGTCTGTCTGAAGTGACTGTAAAGTGGGAGGTGCTGCTACCTGTCTGTCTGAAGTGACAGTAAAGTGGGAGGTGCTGCTACCTGTCTGTCTGAAGGGACTGTAAGGTGGGAGGTGCTGCTACCTGTCTGTCTGAAGTGACTGTAAGGTGGGAGGTGCTGCTACCTGTCTGTCTGAAGGGACAGTAAAGTGGGAGGTGCTGCTACCTGTCTGTCTGAAGTGACTGTAAGGTGGGAGGTGCTGCTACCTGTCTGTCTGAAGGGACTATAAGGTGGGAGGTGCTGCTACCTGTCTGTCTGAAGTGACTGTAAGGTGGGAGGTGCTGCTACCTGTCTGTCTGAAGGGACAGTAAAGTGGGAGGTGCTGCTACCTGTCTGTCTGAAGTGACTGTAAGGTGGGAGGTGCTGCTACCTGTCTGTCTGAAGTGACTATAAGGTGGGAGGTGCTGCTACCTGTCTGTCTGAAGGGACAGTAAAGTGGGAGGTGCTGCTACCTGTCTGTCTGAAGGGACAGTAAAGTGGGAGGTGCTGCTACCTGTCTGTCTGAAGGGACAGTAAGGTGGGAGGTGCTGCTACCTGTCTGTCTGAAGGGACTATAAGGTGGGAGGTGCTGCTACCTGTCTGTCTGAAGTGACTGTAAAGTGGGAGGTGCTGCTACCTGTCTGTCTGAAGTGACTGTAAGGTGGGAGGTGCTGCTACCTGTCTGTCTGAAGTGACTGTAAGGTGGGAGGTGCTGCTACCTGTCTGTCTGAAGTGACTGTAAGGTGGGAGGTGCTGCTACCTGTCTGTCTGAAGTGACTGTAAGGTGGGAGGTGCTGCTACCTGTCTGTCTGAAGTGACAGTAAGGTGGGAGGTGCTGCTACCTGTCTGTCTGAAGTGACTGTAAGGTGGGAGGTGCTGCTACCTGTCTGTCTGAAGTGACTGTAAGGTGGGAGGTGCTGCTACCTGTCTGTCTGAAGTGACTGTAAGGTGGGAGGTGCTGCTATCTGTCTGTCTGAAGTGACTGTAAGGTGGGAGGTGCTGCTACCTGTCTGTCTGAAGGGACTGTAAGGTGGGAGGTGCTGCTACCTGTCTGTCTGAAGGGACTGTAAGGTGGGAGGTGCTGCTACCTGTCTGTCTGAAGGGACAGTAAAGTGGGAGGTGCTGCTACCTGTCTGTCTGAAGTGACTGTAAAGTGGGAGGTGCTGCTACCTGTCTGTCTGAAGTGACTGTAAGGTGGGAGGTGCTGCTACCTGTCTGTCTGAAGTGACTGTAAAGTGGGAGGTGCTGCTACCTGTCTGTCTGAAGTGACTGTAAGGTGGGAGGTGCTGCTACCTGTCTGTCTGAAGTGACTGTAAGGTGGGAGGTGCTGCTACCTGTCTGTCTGAAGTGACTGTAAAGTGGGAGGTGCTGCTACCTGTCTGTCTGAAGTGACTG